ATTACTACTTTCAAATATTCTTTTTGCTCTGATGATATGTCTAAAAAATAGTGTCATGATATAAAATACTGTTTGATTTAGATATTGGTGATTAATTTATTTTTGTGAGTGAATATTTGTTAATGTGTAGTTTTGTATTAATAAGAGTTAAAAGCGGACGAATATAGGAAGTTTTGTTAATAATTCATGGACGTAGAGAATATAGAGAGCGGGCAGACGAGTAAGTGATAATGATATAAAAAGCGTGAGGTGAGCGGGAAGCAGTAGACAGATAACAGCGAAAGAGAATAAAGTTGACTTGAAGTAAAGTACCGTAGAAGTGATAGGCCTAACGTTTAATATGTTAGAGTGAAACTAACAGTAGAAAAGAAGATAAGAAAAATAATTTTATCCCGCCAAAGCGTGGTTCTAAAGTAATTGAATAGGTCTAAGTGGGTATTTGACAAGAGAACTACATATATAGTAGTTATGATATGCCCATAATATCTATAGTGGTGAAGAATTTATTGTACATATGTTAACTTGTTCTGAATATATATATTATTTTGAAAACAAGTGAAGTCCGTGCTGTTTATTCATTGTTGAACTCATCGTTAACAAGTCACAGACACCTACTATAGAAAAATCCTAAGCCCAACAACAACATAGTATATATTTATACTATTAAGAAATATAGATAAACACCTTTAATTCTGATAATTGGCGAATAATTATATTTTAAATTCTGACAAATAGTAGTTTTATCACATTTTAATCACCAAACACATTATACACATCTAGAAAAATATAAACCCAAAATTACACCGATACAAAAGTTTCAGTAAAAACTGTCAGAGTTGTGAACATATCTTTTTTAAAATAATTATTTCTGTGTTTATATGCATAGCTTTCTATTTTATTATGCTTTTATTCAACAATCACTTCTTGAGATGTTTGATAAAACGAACACTTTTCAGCTAAATGTCTGGCACGTGGTTCCTTGTTCATGAGCCCTCCAGTGGCACAGCGGTTTCGATACCCGTGGTGGGCAGAGCCTAGATAGCTCATCATGTAGCTTTGAGCTTAACTACAAACAAACAAACCTTGTTCACGAACTGCCATATTAGATTTAGTTTGTATTGGAAATCAGACAATTTCAATAGGATAAGAAGACATAAGGCGTTAAATTGGATGGTTCTGAGGATTGTTAGTTAGTTGGTTTCTGAATTTCGCGCAAAGCAACACGAGAACTATCTTAACATAGCCGCCCTTAACATTGAACTGATAGACGAGACTAGAGGGAAGGCAGCTAGTCAGTAGCACATACCACTAACTCTTAGAGGGCTACCACAGCCTTAAAGTGCGAAGAGTGTTTTACTTTTTATTTTTGGTCCTCGGATTCACAGCCTGGGCAAGCTAATCACTCATCCAGGTTCCTCTTGTTAAAATATTTTATTTGTTTGTTTTAAATTTCGCGCAAAGCTACACGAGAGCTATCTGCGCTAGCCGTCCCTAAGTTTGCAGTGTAAAACTAGAGGGAAGGCAGCTAGTCATCATCACCCACCGCCAACTCTTGGGCCACTCTTTTACCAACGAATAGTGGGATTGACCGTCACATTATAATCGCCCCACGGCTGAAAGGGCGAGCATGTTTGGTGGGATGGGGATTCGAACCCGCGACCCTCAGATTACGAGTCGAGTGCCTTAACCACCTGGCCATGCCCGGCCTTCATTAATAGTAGAACCTAGATGTTTGTGGGTATTATACACAAAATCATTGGATGGTAAAACTGATAGTGAAGGATGAGTGTAATAAGCAAATGGAAAAAATTAACTGTTTTATTTTCTCTCGCTCTGTAATGATATTTAAAAAGTATATAAACCTTAACTCAAGAAATTCAATAGCCCGAAACGTTCGACGACAGACCTTTTTGCGATAAAAAGTGTTTTAACACCTCATTCAGTATTGTTGGAATATCAATTCTTCTTTGGAATAATTTATTTTTTTGTTCCTATAAAACTTTTGTTAACCACTTAAAATTCTATCCTAAACACTAAACATAACGTACCTGGTTGACTTGTTACATTCGCATCTGTAAACACGATCAAGTTTGCATACTGAAAACAGAAGTTTTTTTATTATAATATTTCAAATTACTTCTTCAAGATAATTAATTATTCTTGAATTATGAACGCTACCATGTGTCATAAAACTAAGAAAAATAGTGATCACATTACTAAAAGTTATTTTAAGAGAAAATTTTAATTTTTACAATTGGTATTAAACCATTGTCTTGATTTGTTTTATTTTGTTAATTTTCATATGCGACAACATGTTTCTTGGTTATGCTGTTGATATTTCTATTTTATAAATGACACATTGACAACAGTATTGTTGAAGTAAAAAAACCCAAGACGAAATATATCACAATCTTCAAAGCTCAATAAAACATAAAATAAACAAATGTTATACTTTTGTTTCTTGAAAAAAAGTTCTTCAGTAAAGTCGTCCTTATCTCGAGATCACCGGATTTTTGATAATAAGGATTTATCTAAAACCTCCGCTAAGAATTCGTTAATATTAGAACCCCCCCCCAAAAAACAACAACAACAACAACAACAAACTACTACTATAATGAAGGTCATTGACCTTTTCTGGGGCCTTTAAGTTTGACCTGCTTTAATCTAAACTTAATACACTGATCTCTTGTTAATGCTAAGTTTTTAGCTAGATTCATAATTTAAATCAACTACTAGTTGTAAAAGACAAACTGTTTATTCGCCCAAAATTATTACTTGAAATACTGAGCAATGTTTTCATATATAATTTGATTGTCGATATTGTTACACAGTACATGAAACGAGACAAGACAAAAATTGTGAAAGATGTACGTTTTATTTTGTAAATAATAAAAGCAGAATATTAAAAAAATACACGACCACAAACACGTTCCACCAGTTGTACACAGATGTAAATAAACCAAAAGTAAATTAAAATTGTTTGTTTTATTGTTAAGCGCAAAACTACACAATGGGCTAGACACCCCTGTTGTGCCTACCACGGGTATCGAAACCCGACTTTTAGCATTATAAAACCTCAGAGAGCAAAGTAAGTACTTATTTCATTCAAAAGGCAAGTCCCCTGGGACAGGGGTAAGTTTATAGGCTTACAATGCTAAAACCCGGGGTTCAATTTCCCGTGTTGGACAGAGCGCAGGTAGCCCATCGTGTAGTTTGCGTTAAAAATAAATAAACAATAGAAAAGCAAGTTCAGCGAAATTTCACTTGAGCGTACATTTAGATGATTTTACTTTAGACAAACTGTTAATTTTTACCTGAAAAGTCCTCTTAGCATCAATGCCATATGTTGAAGAAGGAAAGTGTAGTATTTCATCAGGTTTCCCCTCTCTCGAGCGGAACACGTGCATAAACGTTCCATTAGCAGAGTCGTCGAAAGTCGTCATTTTGTACAGCATCTGAAATACGATTTCTATCTTTTTTTCTTCTTGTTTTCCTTATGCATTTAAAACAAGTCAGTATTGCTTTACTGTTACATACAGAAATTTTGTCGGAACTCGAAATGGAAAATAAGGTTTAAAGTGCTAATCAGAGTATGTAACGCAGATGAATTTGGAATAACATAGTTCTCAACAGGTAGGATTTCAATCACAAACAAATAGTACATGTAAATTACACAAATTATATCAAAAGAAAAGAATACAATATTTTTCGGTAAATGTAGCCGATAAAAAATATACACAGATACTTGAAACGTCATAAAAGCATGGATAAAAAAAATGACCATGATCATGATTAATTAAGCATAGATAGTGTGTATAACATGTCTTCATTTTTATTCATGTTACTCTAAATAGACAGTAATAACTTTTCAAGTATATGTCGAACTTTGTATTTGGTTCTTTAAACACCAAGCTGCGCAACAGCCTATCTGTGCTAAACTTACCCCAAGGATTGAAACACATTTTAGCGTTAAAATCATAAATAATATTCAACGTTAAACTGGTACACAATTAAAAACATTTTATTTAGGCCTATCTATGGCCTTAAAAAAGTTGACGACTCCACATGTTTCGACGTTACAACGTTACAAGACTCCTGAAGATGACGTTGTAACGTCGAAACATGTG